ATTATTGCAGTGTTACTGTGATTCGTTACCCTATAGACAATCCTGGCGTATGGTTTATGCATTGTCATACACATTGGCACTTAATGAAAGGCATGGCCTTACAACTAATTGAGCGATTATCGGTAATTGCAAATACTACTTTATTAGAAGATTTCTTTACACAATGTGTAAGTGCCAAGTAATATGTAATCTAAAATGTGTTGGTTTTGTTAGTGTAATTATAGACAAGTGTACTCGTCAATAACTAGATAAAATATAGTTGATTCCATTAATGAAATATATTATTAGTTTATTACTTTTAGAGTAATGTCGCCTATACTATAAGAGATCCAATAGATAGTTAAAACTTTAATCCATATGAGTTTTATTTATGTTGTACGTTGGAATTGAATTGTTATATTTTTGCTGTAGAATCCATTATAAATTGTGCTTTCGTTGCTAAAAATTTAAATTCAATTTACAATTAAAATTAAATGGATTCTAAATTAGTTTTATCAGGTATATTGTTTTTCAATTTAAATCGCTTTAAGATTTATTCATAACGCAGCGCATCGCAAATTAAAGGCGTTACATAAAAGTTTTACACTTATGGTTACTAATATGACAACTCACGACTTCCGCAATTGTACCTAATTTTATCTACTTGCAATGAGATTGTAATAAATGCTTCTCGAACGTTTATGAGACGTTTATGAGTATTGTAGAAATACTATTCAACTCTTGAAACTTTTGGGATCCAATGAACATAGGTAGGGTTGAGTCAATTTTAATAAATTGAATAATAATGTTTGTGTTTCAAGATCACACATATTAAATGCACATTAGCATTCACGATTATTGTATTTAATGGATTTTGTAAGCCCTTAATACAAAATCAATGTCTTCACATGTGATAAACGTCGCCTATTAGCTAGTTTGCTGCTAAGGTATTTGGAAAGCAATCCATCAAATGCATTACGAAATAAAAAAAGGTCAATCTTTGAGATTCTGTCGTCGGAATAGAAAGAGTTATAAAAAATGAAAAAGAGAAATAAGAAAAATAACGTAATAAAAAATTAACATTCAAACATTTGACAATTTATTATAATGATAAGTAGTTTTTAAATTTCATATCATCCTGGGAACCATTTCAACCTAAGTAAATTTTAAATCTACAATAATTCCATTCAACGTACAATATATACAATACTTTTTAGAGATTTATTTTATATCTCTTATTCAAACAAGTCAAGAATTTACAAATCCAATAAAACTACTACTAATTTTTCTATTCAACTATTAATACAACTATCACAAAATATTTATAATCAAATCTAAAAACCTTATTGCACTAAGCTATCAAAATGGAAGCAATGCTATACATAGTATACCTACTTGATTTACTCAATCTACCTAACATATAAACTTTTGACATTATATTAAAGAATTTATATCTACTATATCAAAGAAAACAGTATATATTTATTTGTATTGGGATCTTCCAAAATAACAATATATTTGATAATATTTGTTTACCTCTTGAACAAGCTATTAAACAAATATCAACCTGAATAATTTTTTAGATAAAATACAATCGTCTAAATAATAACATATTATATTATCATATTTAAACTACTATAGTAGATTTATGTTGCAGATAGATTAGATAGTTTTTTTATTTATAATCAAATCTTATTTTTACAAAAAGTTTGTAAATTGGCTCCAGCCTAAGAAACTGCTAGTGGCTTTTCACACAAATTATTAATAAAGATAAAGATAAAACCTCATCAAAAATTATAAAAATTGATATATTACATATACATTTAAATTCCATTAAACGTTTCAAAAGACGCAGTTTATTTAATAAATTTCACATATAAAATAAAATAGTAACATGAAATTTCAGTATTAGAATGTATACATTGATTCCAATTAAATAAATTATTAGGATTTAATTTTCGTTTAATTTCCACCAGTTTATCGAAATGTTCATCATAGTATCTACATTGCCAATTATCCAAATGTCTATGAATTAAATTTTGATAACTTTGATAATTGGTATATTTTCGTTGAAAATATTAAGAAAAAAGATCTAAATCCCATAAAGATATTTCAGAAGTCACATCTATTTTAATTTCCAGATGGTTCATAAAACCTCTGTTGACAAGTGCAGTTTCATTTCTCCCAATTTCATTAACTTTTTCACCACCAAATAGTAACATCTCAGCTCTAATATTACACGTGAACTTTTCCATAAATTTCACTAGATATTTAGCTCCTTCATCAGACAACCCAGAACCCAGCCGAATTAATAATGATTTTACTTTATAATATCCGGCATCATAACGTGATCCTGCGTTACGAGCAAGGAAAATGTACAAATCATCTTCAGCATACGTCAACTTATAGGTTTAGATAAATTAATAAATTCTTGTATATGAGGTTGCAATTCATCTGCAGATACTAAGTAAATCCAATCAATATAAGTTCGAAATTAAGATATGTTATAGGAAAGTTAAATTCTGAGTAAGATTTTTCCCTAATTGCAATAACTAATGGAATCTGATCCCAATCATATTCAAATGAAAAAGAAGTTACAGTCTTCTGGACAGGATGTATCCTGAGGGTTAAAGATGTAATAGTTTCATAATCAGCATTTCCTGCACCTTTAATAGCCCACAGAAGTTCGGTGTATTCTTTAGCAGTGTTAAATACTGTCCCATTTTGTGCATCAAGAATATTATCTGATGAAAATCCATATTTTCAAACAAGAATCCCATATCCTGATAAAAAAAATAAATTGAGGTTTATAATTTTTGTTGTTTAAACCAAAAAATAGGAAAAATCATAATAAAATTTTCAAGTAATGCTTACACCACCCGGTATAAGTCCACCAACTCCAAGATAAGGACAAACACCATCTGGAGAAGCAAATCCATATTTGTTTACTTCGTAATATAATGACTCTAGTGTATTTCCTGGCCCGATTAATGCAATTTGTGAAGTTATATTGACGGTAATTTTATTAAAGTTTTTAAGATCAACAA